TCAAGGTTGAGTGCCTCTGTTCTTCCCATTTTGTTTCTCAACTTGTTTTTCCCATCATTTTCTCCCTTCCTTAGTTTGTCTCCCACTGTTTTAGACTGTCTGTGTCTCCCCTCTGTTGGTGTCTCTCTGTTTCTTTGCAACGCTTCCTCATTTTCTATTTCTTCCTGTTTGTTACTCCCATTCTTTTTATGCCCTTCTATTTCTTCTTTTGCTCTGCCTTTCTGTTTCTGCTCTATTGTTTCTTCATTTCTGATTCAACCTCTATGTTTGTGCCCATCTTTATGGGCCCATCTGTTTCTCCTCCTCTGGTATTGCCTCTGTGGTTCTGCCTCTCTGTGCCTCTCTCTTTCTGCCCCACTGTTTCTGCATCTCTGTTTTGTCCCCTCTGACTCTGGCCCTGAGTTTGTGCCCCATCGTTTCTGCACATCTGCCTCTTCATCTCCAATTTTGCCCCATGGTTGTGCACCTCATTTTGCGCCTTTTGTTTGTTCCTCTATGTTTCTGCTCATATGTTTCTGCCCCTCTAACTCTTCCTGTCTGAATCTGCTCATCTGTCTGGATCATAAGTTTGTTCCCCTCTGTTTCTGCCCTTTAGTTTCGGTCCCTTGGATTCTTAATGTCTGTTTCTACCCCTCTGTTTTGCCCCTTTGTTAGTGCCTTTCTTATTCTTAATCTGTTTCTGCCTCTCTGTTTCTATCCTTCTATTTCTGCCCCTAGGTTTCTTTAGCTCTGATTCTATTCCTATGGTTGTGTCGGTCTTTTTGGGCCCTGTATTTGTCCTCCTCTGTTTCTCCCACTCTGTTTCTGCCTCTCATTTTCTCCCCACATGCTTCTGCTCCTTTGTTTCTGGACCGTTATTTCTGCCTTTCTGCATGGGGCATTTAGTTCCTTTTCCTCTGTTTGTGCCCCACTGTTTCTGTCCCTAAGATTGTGTTACTCTTTTTGTGCCCTGTGTTGCTTCCTCCGTTTCTGATAATCTGTTTCTGCTCATCTGATTTCCCCTCTCTTTCTTCCCCCTCTGTTTCTCCACTTCTGTTTCTCCCACTCCGATGGTACCGTTCTGATTCTTCCTCTCTGATGGAGGCCCAATGTTTCTGCCAACTGTTTCTCACTGTTCATTTCTGCCCTTTGTGTCTTCTCCATTTCTACCTCTCAGTTTGTTTCTGTCTCTGCACCGATACATCTGCTTCTTCTTTTTCCCCTGTATTTCTGTGCCTTTGTTTCCTCAGCTTTGATTCTGCCCTCTGTATTGTTCCAGATTTTCTGACCATCTGTTTCTGTGCCATAGTTTCTGCCCCACCAGTTGAAGCCCTCAGTTTATTCTCTCTGATTCTGCCTATTTATTTCTTTCCCTGTGTTTCTCCCCACCTATTTCTTCGTCTCTGTTCTTCTCAATCTGCTACTTCCCAGTCTCTCTCAGTCGTCTATTTCTGTCTTTTGTGCCTCATTTTTAGGACCCATTGATTTTTGTGTTTGGGTGATGATATAGTTAGTGTTAGGGTTAGGGATAGGGTTTGGCGTTTGGGGTTAGGGGTTAGCGTTGGGGGTTGGGGTAGGGTAAGGGTTAGGGATTAGAGTGAGGGTTAGTTTTAGGGCGAGGGTTGGATTTAGGGGTTAGGTTTAGGAGTTACGGTTAAAGGTCAGTTTTAGGGTGAGGAATAGGGCGAGGGCTAGGGTCAGAGTGTGAGTTGGAGTTAGTGTTTGGGTTAGGATTAGGGTCAGGGTTGGGGTTAGGGTTAGGGTTAGGGATAGGGGATGGGGGATGGTTTCAGCGAGAGGGTTAGGTTTAGGATTAGGGTTAGGGTTAGGGTTAGGGTTTAGGGTTAGGTTTAGGGTTAGGGTTAGGGTTAGGGTTAGGGTTAGGGTTAGGGTTAGGGTTAGGGTTAGGGTTGCGATAGGGTTAGGGTTAGGTTTAGGGTTAGGGTTAGTGTTAGGGTTAGGGTTAGGATTAGGGGTTAGGGGTTAGGGTTAGGGTTAGGATTAGGGTGAGGGTTAGGGTTAGGGTTAGGGTTGCGATAGGGTTAGGGTTAGGTTTAGGGTTAGGGTTAGGGTTAGGGTTAGGGTTAGGATTAGGGTGAGGGTTAGGGTTAGGGTTAGGGTTAGTCTCCTGCGATAGGGTTTGGGTGAGGGTGAGGTTTTGGGTTAGGGTTAG